CTGTAACTGTGACTTCCTCTGGCAGCCCTTGTTTGCCTTCCTGTACAAAGAGCAGTTTCCTGTGGACGGCTGGAAGGTGTATGACCCAGCAGCAGAATACAGACGTCAGGTAACTCCACGGGCGCCGTTACTCTACGACTGACATGTTGCCAGTTGACCTCATTTGTTGCAAAATGTTTCTGTTTCTTTTTTAATAGCACTTACTTTTCCAGCATCCTGAACATTTTATGTGTGAACAGGTTACGTGTGTATCAGATTTGTTTTCTACATTATCCAGACTTTGTTTCTTTCCTCTGCTTGGATGTCTTTTGTCAGGGGCTTCCTAATGAGAGCTGGACCATCAGTAAGATAAACAGCACCTATGAGCTATGTGACACGTATCCTTCCGTCCTGGTCATCCCCACCAACATCACAGATGAAGACATCAAACGAGTGGCTGTGTTCAGAGCCAAGCACCGTATACCGGTCAGTCTGAGCACAGATCTGAGGCTTTGCTCTTTATCTCAGAGTAGAACGGGAGGCAGAGCCTTCAGGCTCCCAGCTCCCAGCTTGGATTCGAGGGACAGACAGCGTCTCTACTTTTAAGATTAAAGATATAGTTAGGGCTGCATTAGCTGACCCTAAACCTCCCTGATGTTACGCTGCAATAGGCTGCTGCAAGCTTCCCGCGATGTTCGCAGGTTCATTGGCTGATGACTTGTCAGTTAGCCATACATCTTGCTTTGTAACTTTAGTATTTATGGGAACACACAAAATGAATGTTAGTTTAGATTGTGTCCGAGCTGTTTCCTCATGCTGTGCTCAGTGTGTTTGGCTCGCTTGAACTGGTCTTGCTCTTCCTGCTTGCAGGTCTTGTCCTGGATCCACCCGGAGTCTCAGGCCACCATCGTACGCTGTAGCCAGCCGCTAGTTGGGCCGTCAGACCGTCGCTGTAAAGAAGACGAACGCTTTCTCCAAATCATCATGGACGCCAACGCTCAGTCCCACAAGCTCACCATCTTTGATGCCCGACAGAGCAGCGTGGCCATCACCAACAAGGTGCAACACAGAGCGTTTTAACCACGCTGCTATGGAGACATGCTTCTTCATCACTGCTCACCCGTACATCACTTATTAACACGGAAATCTCTCTTTTTCTTTTGGACTCCTCCGCCCTGGCCTCCGCTGCCTCCATCACATGCAGGGAAAGGATGGAGGGTATGAAAGTGAGAGTTTCTACCCCAACGTAGAGCTAAACTTCCTGGAAATCCCAAACATTCATGTGATGAGGGAGTCTCTCAGGAAGATGAAGGATGTCGTTTATCCTACCATAGACGAAGCTCACTGGCACTCCTTTATCGACCAGACGCACTGGCTGGAGTACATACGGGTAAACTACACAAACGCACGCCACATAAAAGAAGGAACAAGCTGTTTCCTTATGCAAAGAATAGATCTTAA